TGAGAGGTCATGCCCGTCATGATATGCTGAATAAATTGTTTCATGTCATATTTTAGAGCAACTCCAACGCGTCGATCCATTTCATCCGCACGCTTCCGTTTAGATTGATGCGGACAGAAAAGTCGGCCCAACGCGCCGACTCAAACGGACGCGTGTCCGTTTTTTGTCCGCCAGCTGACCCATTCTCGACCCATTTTTGAGCCGGGTTTGCGTTGGTGCGGACACGAGACACACACGCGCGCCCGCCTACTCCTCCCCCTGGCCCGCTGGTCAGTGGCACATTGGCCATCCTCTCCTATTCCAGCAGCAAACCCTCGCCCGCCTCCTTCGTCGCTGCCGCCGCGCCCATTTTCCGGTGACTCTGCCAGCTGTCGGCGCCGCAACATCCCCTCTGCAACACCACCACCTCCCACGTCGCCCGGCACCGCCGTCTTGCCACTAGGGGAACCGAAAGCTTCCCACCCCGCTCCCCTGACACAGCCGCGACCACGACCAAGAAACCGCCTCGTCGCCCCGGCCAGATCCTCACCGGCATGCTCGTCGGACGTAGGCACGCTCGTCGGACGCCGCCAGGGCAGCTAGCTGGTCCGAGGGCGGCGCGACTCCCTTCGTTGTCCGTCTCCTTCGTCGACGCCCGCAAGTTGTTTGACAGTTTGCCAAGGTACAAAATGAACTCCGCCGACGAGTTCTTTTTTCACAATTTCCTTTGCCACTCCGACGATTCCTCGTCCGATGATGACGAGGAGATCTTGGCTGCCGTGTTGGTCCATCACCACCTCAATAGCCAGGCCCGACGTTCCGTGGCTCCATTCCGGGCCACCTTCCAGCGTTGAATCGCAACCGAGAGAGCGAGCATTTCCTTCTTTGGAAGAACTACTTTGACATAACAAACCCGTTGTTCAAACATCAGAAATTCCGCCGCCGTTTCTGTATGAGTAGGCACCTTTTCAACCGTATTAAAGAGGGGGTGGTCGGCTATGATGACTATTTCGATTGCAAAGAGGATGCCGTTGGAAAGATTGGTTTCTCCTCTTATCAAAAATGCATTGCCGCCATCCGAATGCTTGCATACGGAGTGCCCGGTGATCTCATTGACGAGTACGTCCGTATGAGCGAGTCTACATGCCTAGACTCCATGTATAGGTTCTGCAAGACTGTTATTGCTGTGTTTGGCCCTGAGTACTTGAGAGAGCCGACTCCTGAAGATACAGCCCGTTTGTTGGCGATGAATGCCAGCAGGGCTTCCCAGGGATGCTTGGCAGTATAGACTGGATGCACTAGGAGTGAAAGAACTGCCCTTCTACTTGGCAAGGGCAGTATAAGGGCCATGTCAGGGCTTGCGCTGTCATACTTGAGGTTGTGGCATCTCAAGATCTCTGGATCTGGCACTCTTTCTTTGGCATGGCTGGATCACACAATGATATCAACGTGCTTCAGCGCTCTCCGGTGTTTGCTAGGCTTGCCGAAGGCAACAGCCCACCAACGAAGTTTACTATCAACGACCACAACTACGACAAAGGATACTACTTGGGTGACGGTATCTATCCTCAGTGGACCGCTATTGTGAAGACAATCCCCAACCCTGTCTAAGAGAAGAGGAAAAGATTTGCCCAAGAGCAAGAGAGTGTTAGGAAGGACGTCAAGTGTGCCTTTGGTGTTTTGCAATCTCGATGTGGCATCGTTTGGTATCCTGCTAATACTTGGAGCACGCAGAAACTAAGGGAGGTGATAACTGCTTGTGTGATCATGCACAATATGATCGTAGAAGATGAGCGCCCGAAACGTCTGTACGATCAAGGGTTTCAGTTTCAGGGTGAGAATGTTGTGCCTGAGCATGGAGGAGCGGCAACGTTGAACAATTCACCCAATTTCATCATGACATGCATGATTGTGAAACTCACATGCAACTGCAAAATGATTTGGTTGAGCATATGTGGGCTCATGTTGGCAACCAATAGATGTATCTTTTTTATTCGGCTTGCAAAACTATGTGAGACATTTTTCTTTTATTCGGCTTGTAAAACTATGCTATTTATTTGGTTGTGGACTATGTGTTTGTTTGTGAAATAATGCAAAAGTTGTGTGCGAGATAATGCAAATTTAGTGCTATTTGATGAAAAAGGGCAGCCAGCCGGTCACTTCGGCACATATGGGCCGGCCCGTTAGGCGCACCACCGACCCAAATCTCAAACAGGGCGGACGCCGGACGGGCGGCCGACCCAAACGGACAAAAGCGCCGTCCGTTTGGGTCGGCGCGTTGGAGTTGCTCTTACAACACAATATCTACATGTCAATCGCCCGACTTTCCAATTTTGGGTCAATCGATTTTGGTTGAAGGAAGAAACAAGCACGGGGAGGAAGAAACTCGCCGGAGGGGAAGAAGAAGGTCGCTGGACAGGCTACCCCAATATCTATCTTAGGGTTTTGCATGAGGGCGGTGGTGGTGGGTCGGTGGTGTGGCTTCGCTGGAGAAAAGCTCGTCGCGGGGGGCCTAGAGGGATGGCCGAGGGCGGCAGAAGCACGACGATGGGCTGCCGTTGAGGGGAGGGCAGGGCGGCCGGGCTGGCGCGGGAGTGCCACTGGCCGCGGTGGCTGAGGACGGCGGCTAGGCCGGTGGTACATGCGGCGATTACAGGGAAGAAGATGAACAGGAGATCTGGCTGGAGGTTGAAGAAATCAATCTGCCGTTCATTCCAAATCTGACGGCTGAAAACTGATCGACTGACCCAAATCAAATTTTCAGTCAACTTTCCCCTAACCAATCCCATTTTACAATTCAACCAAGACAAAACCATCAAATGTAAAGAAAGCTGATGGCCTGTGGAGGCGGTTGCAAGTAGCAACACTCCTACCCCTGCAGAGTACCTACTCCTGGTCCTGGGACGCCATATATACTGTCTTTCATTCTTCTATTATATGAAGTTTCTTTCAATTATGGGAAAATGACTTTCAATAATAGGAAAAAGGAACATCTTCAAATCATTCTCCTTTCAATTATGGAACAAGGAGTATCTTCAATATGAGAGTATCACATCAAAACTCATGAAGAGTTGACGGGTCATGCTCGTCATGATACACTGAATAAAATAGTTTCATGTCATATTATACAATTGCAGGAAGACAAAAGCAGAATCCAAGAGTCTGATGTCATCATAACCATCAAATGAAACGAAAATTAGTGAGTGCCACATGGACGCGAGGGGACATCATTCAGTTGGCAAACTCAAGGAGAGATCTAGCATCACTGAATCAGTCATCTGAGCTGAATTGTCATGTACTCATGTGGCAACAATACATTCAGCAGCCTTTTTTTTACAGATTTAATTAGCGCCCACGGTTCATCAGTCAATTTTGGAGATCTTAATCCCACATTGTGGATGCAAACAAGCTGCACTATCTTCTACAAAATTACTTGGTTGCACGGTGTTAGTACTTACCACTGGAAAAATTTGGACACAACTACTGTTCTACACAGCAACAGTTTGCAATAAGCCTCAGATACTGAACTCTCTCCTGTTCTTCTCTTTGATTTCATCCGGCTTGAGTACATGCATGAGAATTGTCATAACAATCTTCATGATCTCTTCTTCAGCATATGACGTGGTAAACCGGACTGCAAAGTGCAGATATTGTTAGAAAGTGTGTGACGATGTCAGAACCTTACTGATTCAGCAAATCAGTGCGCTAGACATGCCACAATTCTTACATATGCAGGCCTAATCCATCAAAAGGCATGCTGTTCATTCATTAGTAGTATATGACCACAGGGAACAGTAAGTCTTAACTGAAGAAGATGTCAACAAAAATGTCTTAACTGAAGAAAGTAGAAACATTTCGGTGCTCATGGTTTCACTCGAGATAAAAATCACAAAGAACACACAATCTATTAAGGAAGTTATTTGTTGGACGATGCAAAAGTAAAGTGAGGCACGCTGCTAATGGCTTACCCCACGGAAGGATTGGAAACTCCCATGTCTGCTTAGGAACTGACATAACATACGCAGTAACCTTAAGAGAATAGAGACAGACAATATTAGACACAACATTGTCACACCTCTATCTAGCATCTTTTCAATGTCAGTGGGAATGCTACATTCAGGGAACATACAAGAGTTAAAGCAGCAAGTGGACAGGGAAAGTCGAAAAGCCATGAGGTATCTTCGGTCTCATAAAGAACATCCAAAATTTCCATGCACACATCCATACTTAAAAGATCACCCAACTTTGATATTTCCCTGTCAGTGAAGAAGAAAATAAGCAGCATGTTAGTTGAAATTCTATACTTACGTTTCACATGTACTGATAAATCTAGAACAATAAGAACATATGAGCATCATATGTTCATGGTCTAATACTTTCTACACATCAGCATAATTATTGTAGTGCTAAGCACTAACAGTTTAACTGGTGGGATTGGTAAAACAGATGGTGGTGTGCTACAGTATGTGTGCACTAAGTAAAAACTTACAAAGAGTCAAGTGGACTACTCAAGGGGGAGTGAGAAACTGAATGCAACAGATTCTAATTCTAGTGACTAATTACTGCACATGCCTAGTGTGTGGTACTATGGTTTCTCATATAATGCATTCCCCAATATAAATGGATGTGTACCTTACAGAACTTCAGAGTTACAAGATGATACATGTTCACCACTAACTAGCATAATTCAGTAGGTATATAGCAGTTCTAAAGGCTCTAGCAATTGCTCCTAATGGAAGTATTACAATTGGAGTATTGGTAGTATTGGTCAGTGATTAGCGAATGAATTAAGCAATTTGATGAACCTGAACTGAATGAGAAGCTCCTCCAGGTATATGAAAGCAATGTTGGAACACCCAACATTATAATCCACTACCTACAGACCACTCAAAAAACAACAATTTCATAGTGTGGGAAGACGAAAGCAATACAAAGCAAACATTCCAGCGCTAGCCAAGAGGCTTTACCTCCATGAACACCAGCTCCTGCGGCATTACAACAAACACATTGAGTCCGCATAATCAGGAGCCGAAATGAAAGAGAACAATGCACCATGAACTCACAGCATCCGCGAAATCACGGCATGTGAAATGCTGGTCGGCGATGATGCGGTCGCTGAGCGCCTTGAGGCTCTTCACAGACAGTGGCCTCATCTCATGGATCTGAACAGAAAATAGCATGAAAAGGAAGGTAATGATGCTCCTCCCATGCCATGGCATGCACACAGAGTTTGCTGAGGTTCTCACAGTATCACCTTGCTGGCGATCCACACCGCGACGAGCGCGAAGAGCTCCAGGTTGCTGTCCCCGAGGGGCTCGATCAGCCACAACCTGACGGCCCGTTCACTTCGTGCGCCGCAGAACCCCATCTTCCTGCCACGATGAACATGTCAGGAAGAAAAAACTCGCCCAAACCAAAACTAGAAATTGTGTCTGGGAGATCGACCGCCGTCACCTCGGAAGCGCGGGGAGGAAGCACCCATCGAAGAACGAGAGCGCGGAGTACTTGACGATGGGCCGGAGGTCGAGCCGCTACAAGCAAATCACGGATGGCGGCGGGTGAGACTGAGTTTGGTCGGGGTCGCGGACGGAGGGAGATGAATGCTTACGTTGGAGGCGTGGAGCAGGAACTGGAGGAGGTGGCTCCGGCGGGAGGAACCAGGCCACGCGCTTGCCGCCGCCGCCGCGTCCTCCCCCTCCACCATTTCCATGGTGGTGCGAGTCGGGGCCGGCAGTGACAAACCCCTTTCTTTTCGTTTTTTTCCTTTTCAGTTTGCTTTCTGTTTTTCGAACCGGGCTTTTCCCCTTTCCATTACTTTCATAACGGAAATACAATGTCTCAGGAACTGAAACCAGCAAGGCTAGAGAGAAAGAGGAAAAGCGAGTTCGGGGCAACACCAGGAAACCCACTATCTACGCCTGTCATCAGGAACAACAGATCATGGGGCGAAAACCTGGTGTCACCCAAAACCGCAGTAAGGAACACCTACGGAAAGTATCACAAGTCTTACAAACACCATCATCAGACGCCAGGCCACATCAGCCATAACAAAAGCATCCCAAATGAACTACCAGAACCCTCATAGCAAGGACTAAAGAGCACCACCCAGGTCATCCATCCTGGTCTCCAGGATGTATCGACGGCTTTTCTTCCGCAACAAAAACGCCAGAAGCTTACTGAACAGGATCCGCAGCATCTTCTTCCTCAGTTCCCATCACGTCCATCCCTAGCTGGAGCTGGGGGATCGCAAAGCATCATCATCTGTGTTGTGTTCTCCCTCAGCATCTCCGCTCCTTTTTTCACCATCTCTCCTATCTCTGCTTTCTGGAGACCTCCCCAGTACATCAAAAAGGCACAAGCTGTAAATACAATCTCAAATGGAGAGTTAATCCATTTGAGTTCGAAAGTGGCTCGGTTCCTGGCCAGCCAAATAGCCCAACATATAGCAGCCAAGCCAACAGTGTATAATTTGTCCAGCCCAGGTAAGAAGTTGTACATCCACGCATAATATTGCCAGACAGAGTTAGGGCAGCAATCAGTTCCAAGCAAGGAACCTACGGTTCTCCACACCACCCTAGAAATAGGGCACAAAAAAAACAAGTGCTGAGTTGTTTCTAATTGGTCACAGAAAGAACAGCAAGGATCCCCCGGCCATAATCTATTTTTCATGTTGTCCCTGGTCAGGATGGCATTCTGTGCCATCTGCCACAAGAAGATCTGAATTTTAAGAGGAAGCTTTGCATCCCAAATCCATTCAAATTTAGATCCTGCTATATCTCTTTCTAGCCATGTGTACATGGACTTTGTAGTAGGGATGAAAATGGAGTGGAAACTTTCCATTTTTTCAGAGGAAAAACGGAAACGGAGAGGAAATATGAAAACGGAAACGGAAATTTGCAAAACGGAAGTGGAAATGGAATTTTTTTATGCGGAAACGGAAACAAAAACGGAACGGTATTTTCTGGTGGAACATGCATGGAAATGGAACTTTCCGTTTCCGTGAATATGGAATTTCCATGAATATGAAACAACTATGGAACTTTGTGGTAGTAGGAGTTGGACCTATAGTTGTTTTGTAGCCCAACCACCAAAGAGAACGCAATGACACAATTAGTAGAATGGATCTAAGGCACAACTCCTACTACCACACATGTACTCAGCTTGACCCTATACGCAATTGTCCGGTACTACTACAATACTATGCTAAGTTGCTAACATAATGATATTATTTTGTAGCCATGTTAACAACTCATTAAATTTGTTTGATTTTGTGTGTATTTCTCTATGATTCAAGTGGTTTTTAAGTTCCGATCAATGCTTGTTTCTGTTTCCGTATCCGCTTTGTATTCGCTCCGTGTCCGTTTCCGGTAGTATGTGTTTCCATATTCATTTCCGGGGTTTCTGTATTCGTTTCCGCTTCTGCAAAGAAATGTGAAAACAAATATGATAGCACTCAGTTCTGTCCGTTTCCGCTCCATTTTCATCCCTACTTTGTAGTATATTTGCCCGAACGGTCCAGTTTCCAATAAACCTCATCTGGCCCATCACTTTGCTTAAGATTTAACATCTCTTTATTCATTTCCTCCCATTGTTTCGTCATCTCAGGAGACATCCTCCTCCTAAAAGAGGAGATCTGATCAAGGCATTTAAATTTGTCAACAATACAATTTTGGTCAATACAAGTCTCAAAGAGCAGTGGGAATCTGTCTTTAAAAGGGATTTTATCCTCCAGGCTATCAAGCCAGAGTCTAGCCACACCTCCCCAGTTCAAATTAATACCTCTACCCAGCATATAAAGGTCTTTCACTTTCAGAAGTGATTTCCAGCAAGGCGAGTCACTGGCTTTGTGTTTTACCATAGCAACCGAAGTTTTCTTTAGGTATTTTGCCTTAACTATGTCTTGCCAGAGCCCTTTATTTTTCTCAAGCTTCCACCACCATCTCACTAAAAGACTAATATTCTGTTTCCTCAAGTCTTTAACACCCAAACCCTCTTTCTTTTTGGATCGACATATACGGCTCCATTTAACCATATGGTAGCCTCTCTTTTTCCCTTTGATATGCCAGAAAAATTTTCTTCTGGGTTTGTCCCACTTCTCCAAGGTAGTCTTGTTCAAAAGAAACATAGACATGTAAAAAGTAGGAATATGAGACAGCACGGAGTTCACTTTGATCAGCCTCCCCCCATGGATAGAACTTCACTAATCCAGTTTTCACAATGATCGATGAATTTGTCATCTACAAAGATCCAATCACTACACTTCAAACCAGCATAGCTCACAGGCATGCCTAGGTATTTGATAGGGAAGTCACCTATCTGGCAATTAAACATCTCAGCATAATTTTGCATAGTAGTATCATCAACACGAATCGAAAAGATTTCACTTTTCATAAAATTGATTTTCAACCCAGACATGACTTCAAAAAGATATAACAGCAGCTTAATATTAAGAGCATTCCTAGGATTATCCTTGAAGCATAGGATCGTGTCATCCGCATATTGCAAGATAGCCACCCCATTGGGGATCAAATCAGATGCTAACTGAGGGAGTCCTGGATTAGGGGGTGTCCGGATGGCCGGACTATGACCTTTGGCCGGACTCCCGGACTATGAAGATACAAGATTGAAGACTTCGTCCCGTGTCCAGATGGGACTTTCCTTGGCGTGGAAGGCAAGCTTGGCGATACGATATGTAGATCTCCTCCCATTGTAACCGACTTTGTGTAACCCTAGCCCTCCCCGGTGTCTATATAAACCAGAAAGTTTTAGTCCGTAGGACGAACAACAATCATACCATAGGCTAGCTTCTAGGGTTTAGCCTCTCTAATCTCATGGTAGATCAACTCTTGTACTACCCATATCATCAATATTAATCAAGTAGGAGTAGGGTTTTACCTCCATCGAGAGGGCCCGAACCTGGGTAAAAACATTGTGTCCCTTGTCTCCTGTTACCATCCGCCTAGATGCACAGTTCGGGACCCCCTACCCGAGATCCGCCGGTTTTGACACCGGCATTGGTGCTTTCATTGAGAGTTCCTCTGTGTCGTCACCTTCAGGAAGGATGCCGCACCCCGTCTTTAAAGACGGTGCTGTTACTAAAGGAGCTTTGGCTGTCGGCCAAACTCTCCGGCTAGGCGGTTTTCTAATGACCGCCTGTTCGGTCGTTGCGCCGACGATGACTTCTCGGGTCATCGAAAGCAATCTCCACGTCAACTCTGAACTTGCCGAGCAGTTAGATCCGATGGAGCTCTCTTCCTTAAACAAGCTCTTGGATCGCATCGCCTCCCTTGGAGTCGCTACAGACTATGATCAGATTGGGCTTAAACCCGATCCAAGAGAAATTGACTCTCCCCAGGTCACCCACCACGTCGAAGTGGTGGAGGAACAATGTGGCGAATCTTCACCCATCCTAAGGACCAGATGTGTCTAGATTCCTGATCCCTCCAAGCCGGACACCCACGGAGGGGAGGACGTCACTCAAGCCCTAAACCTAAAGTCAGGCAGCGGGCCTGATTCATTGGATACCGTCCAAGAACCCAAGCTTCCGAGTTCGGAAATTTCTTGGCCCCAGAATCTCAGATTGGGCGAGGTACCGGATTTAACTCCACCCGCCCACCCAAATATAAGGGATCTATCCCAAATTCAGCAAGAGCCCAGAGAAACAGTACACCATTACTGGGCCAGATTCCTCCTGGTTATGAACAGGATAAAGGACTGCCGCGAGGGGGATGCAATTTCATTCTTATGCAACAACTGCACGGACATCGGAATCCTCAACGCCATAAGTCGCCGTGAAATTACACGCTTCGCCGACTTGGCATCCATACTACGAAAGTACTGTGCGACAGAAAGCATTCAGAAAACCGAAACAAAATTCTGGGACAACCCGACCCTGAATACAATCCCAGTCCGAAACAAAAGGGCGCATTATCGCCAGGCACCTGGGCCAAACAACAAAAAACAAAAACCCTCTATACGGTATGGAACCGTACTGGAGGGATGGCTCAATGGACCCTGTAAAATTCATAGTACAGAGGGCGCCACACCAACTCATAGCCTTAGAGCATGTTGGATATTGCGGCAGGTGGCCAGAAGTGGCGAGGAGCTTCTAACTCCAGAATCCGCAGAGCACCACCCCAGGAACGCCAGTACGGTACCAACAGTCTTCGAGACTTTCGCATCAAACAATGCAAGGAAACGAATGCTCCGCAGCCTTACCGAAGTCTACCAGGTAGCGACAATAAACCCATGGAGTGACACGGCTATTACCTTTAATGCCAGTGACGAACCTAAATTCCGGACAGCCCGAGCACCAACCGCACTGGTCCTCAGTCCGATAGTGGACGGCTTTCGGCTTACCAAGGTACTCATGAACGGTGGCAGCAGATTGAACCTCATTTATGAGGAAACCCTACGAAGAATGAAAATAGACTGGAGCCGCATTGAGCGAAGCAACACAATCTTTAGAGGAATAATCCCCAGTCGGGAAGCGTGCTGTACAGGAAAAATCACACTGGACGTGGTGTTCGGCACGCCGGATAATTACAGATCCGAGGAGGTCACATTTCAAGTGGCCCCGTTCAGCAGCGGATACCACGCTCTGTTAGGGTGAGAGGCATTCACAATTTTTCAAGCTATACCCCATTACAGGTACATGAAGCTCAAAATGCCCGGACCCAACGAAATCATCACTCTTGCTAGCGATCCGGA